TCAAAGTTGGAATCCAAAGTTATCTCATTCTAAAGTCCATGTCTCTCTCTTCCACTCCTGTCAACCCATCTGACCTCCTCCATTCTCCAAACCCCTGACTCCCTTGAAGAGAATATTACTCTCAATTTTTTATCCCTTTTCTGAGTTACAGGTTTCTTTTATTTAGTAGTCTCTTTGGCTCTGGTCCTGGGAGTCCTACCTTTTCCAATTTCTTTCTAGTTGAATGTATTCAATTTCATTAAATATACCAATTGCCATCAAGCTACTTCCAACTCCTGGGACCTCAATTGTGTCAGCATAAAGTCACGTTCCTTAGAGGTTTCAGTGGCTGATTTTTCAGAAGTAGATGGCCAGGCCTTCCTTCAGAGCTAATTAACACTTTGCTGATGCCTAGAGGGGAAGCTCATTGTGTTAATTACCAGAGGTTTCATAGTGAACAAGATTCACACAATTCCTCTTCTCAATGAGCGGCTAACAAACTCCAAACTCATCACTGTAGAGCTGATTCAGACTCATCATGACACTACCATGTGATTGATATTGTGCTGTAAATCTCTGTGGGAGGACACTGCTTCATTTTTCTCTTGTGAAGTGTCTGGTGGATTTGAACCATTAACCTTTTGACTGGCAGCCCAAAAAAGTAACAACACACTGTTCTATCAGTAGTTCTAGATCTGTGGAAAATAGATTCCTAGGGAATGTAGAGATGAGAAGTGGATGATGATGAAGATGGAGATAAGATTCACTTCTGGTGGGTTCTATGCCAGTAAGGAAAGCTGGTCCTCACCCTATAAAGCTGATGAAACAGCATCGGAAGATTTTATATAGGGTAATGAAACAGATAACATGTTGTTGATATCATTGAGTCAAGCACACTCATAATGACCCTATGAACAAAAGACCTGAAGTCTTTCTATACCTATCGTCCTTTCTCAAAGTTCATCGTTTCCAGAGGCATGTTGTTGAGGAAGTTGATGCCACTCCTGCTTCCAAACAGATAACATAGAGGTTATAGTTAAATGGGATAAAGTGATTTATTATCATTATAATTACAGCAGTATTATCATCATTTAGGAAAAAGTTTTCAAAATGAAGTCTATGGACCAATAGTTTCAACTTTAGGTTCACTTAGGAACTTGTGAGAAATCCAGTTTTAACCAGAAACTCTAAAGTAACTTCTAACTATTGATTTGTAACACATGCTCCAGGGAACTCTGCTTGGAAAGGTGGAAGGTCAGCAAAAGAGAAGACCTTCAAAAAGATGGATGGACACAGTGACTGTAGTAAAAGGAGTGAGTATGTCAGGTATATACAGTGAGGCTGGCGCAGGTTAGTACAGGACTCGGAGCTGCTGTTTGTAGGGTCACTATGAGTCAAAGACAACTCGATGGCACATAACAATTCTAACCAGGAAGCTCTCCTGGTGCAGCCAATAGGGAGCTGCCTTGCTCACTGAAAAGCGACACTTCTCTGGCGGCAGTTTGAATCTACCAGTGGCTCCGTGGGAGAAAAACGGACAATCCCCTCCCATGTGAATTCCAGCCTTGAAAACCCACTGGAGGGTCAGCTCAGGGTCAGTTCTGACCCCACAGCAATGTCTTTAACCAGGTGATTCTGATTCAAACTTAAGTTGCCTAGGGGTGAGTGAAAACCTGAATTACTGAAGTGTGGCAAATAAGCTCCTCAGAAATTAAAGGAAAAGGAATAAATGATGATAAAATGCTTCCCTTTTTCTTAATACACCTAAAAGAAAATTGTGAATATAAGACAAATAATAGCAGCAGTGTTTTGAATGATTTTAGCTTTTGGTTTGAGTGAAATGAATGATAGATATGTTACAAAGATTGGGAGTTAAGAATTCAGAGTGCTCTAAGGTACTGGTTAGAGTTGTTATATGCCATCGAGTGGTCTAAGGTGCTGTATGTTTAGTGGTATATTGTTGGAAAAGAAATTTAAGTGAACCAAAAATAAATATTGCTCAAATGGTCAAATGCCCATATTCAAGAGTAGAGGACATGGACTTTCTTTATGCCAGAGAATTCTGATGTCATGTCTTAAAGCTCTTGCAAGAGAAGTTGGATTTTATTGACTCCTTTTTGGATTATCCCCATTAAGTTTTAGACAGTATTCTTGAGAAGGTACACATTGCTTTGTGTAGACGGGATATTTTATGTCCTGATTTTCCAAGGACAATCCTGATTTATGCGTATTACCTTGTGTGATTATTGATAGTAAGTTTTTCTCCACTTTGATTAATGTCTCTGGATTATAAATGATATGATACCCTTGTTTATATAATGTTCTATTTTTCTGGAAACTTGAAAGAAAGCAAGCTTTCAAGAACACATTAGAATAAATATGTAAATAAAGTATGTCCTCTGAATAATCTTAAAGCAGAACCAGAGGTTAGCTTACCTAGTAGAAAAGTCTGCCATTAACATTATGCTGTCTTAAAAACTGTGTATATTGGATAAAAGAACTTGAAAAATCAGAATGAAATCTTAGGACAAGTAAATTCAAGTTAAAGAGGAAGGAATAACTCAGGAAGAAGGGTAAAAATGGTTGCACATCTCAGAGAATACAGTCAGTGTCTTAAATGACACATTTAAAATATGCTGAATTTGTGTATATTCTCAACCATATCAAGAGAATAAATAAAATTTAGGAAAAAAGAGAACACATGAGAGAATGTTTTTATGGGATCTAGTAAAATATTTCAGCGTACTATTTTCAGTGTTTTCGGCTTTTTAAAAAACATCGTTGAGTAGCTTTAAATTGTCATTCACTCTTTCATACATACTTGTCAATTAATTTTAGAAACCCTCCTGACAGGTTAACAAACTTTATGTATAGGACATGCTCTTAGACAGCAATGAAATCTCTCAACAACTCAGCTCATTGCTATTGAGTCAGAGTTGACTCATAACTGACCCTCCAGTGGATTTTCAGAGGTTATAAATCGCAGGGGAAGACACTGCCCCTTTTCCTCCATAGATCAGCTGATGGATTTGAAACTGCTATTGGGTTGGCAGCAGCTAAAATTCAGAGGCCCTGCCCAACTCTTTTACAGAAAACAAATCACAGGTGCAGAGTAGTTAGTTTAAAATAGCTGAACTGTTGGAATTTGAATACTGTTTAGAGCTAAACACTAGTTGGTTGAAGCGTCACTGAATTGCAATCAAGTGTTTACAGTTGATTCAGTACTGACTCCTACAAAAGAAATATGTACTAGACTGCTAGGAGCAATACAGCTTTGGCATGCACCTTATCAAGCATGATGTCCCTCTCCAAGGACCCGGTCCTTCCTTACAACATGTCCAAAGTATGTTAGACGGAGCCTCAGAATCCTTGCCTCCAAGAAGCCACCTGGTTTAACACTTTCCAGGATGAATCAGTCTGTTTTTCTAGCAGTCCATGGTACTCTCAATACTCTTCTCCAGCACCACAGCTCAAAGGCATCAATTCTCCTTCTATCCTCCTTAGTCATTGTCCAACTCTCTGATGCATAACAAGTGATAGCAAAGACCATGGCCTGTATCAGATGCACCTTAGTCTCCAGAGAGGCACCATTGCTCTTCATTGCTTTGGAGAGGTCCCTAACAGCTGACTTTCCCATGGCAATACATCTTTTAATTTCCTGGCTACTGGTGCCAAGAGTAAGACTGTGGAGCCAAGCAAACTAAAGCTGTGTACAATCTCAATCTCTTCACCATCCATCCTGATGTTGCCAATTGGTCCAGTGGTGAGAATCTTTGTCTTCTTGACATTGAGCCTCAAGTTAGAATAGGAATTTAAAAAAATTAAGATTTGTGTATAATTTGTATTTTCTCATTTTATATTCTAATACTTGAGGTTACTATATACACCTTGCTGTGCATTCCCGAGTAGGAAATAATCCATAGCTGACCTGCAGTGGGTTTGCAGAGTCAGTTAATTACACGGGAAGAGATTGCTTATCTTTTTTCTTATGGAGCAGCTGGTGGATTTGAACTCTACACCTTTGGGTTGCAAGCATAACTACTTACCACCAAGCTATCAGAGCTTCCTAATTCAGTGATGACAAATGTAGAACAAGTAGCTAAGATACTTTTGTTTCAGAAAAAGAAGTTTCTTTTCACACAGTGTTTAGATATAATTTTCTGCCACAGTGCCTTCTGATCATATTGGCATCATAGATACCAATCATATCTTAATGATCTCATAATGTACCCAGATGATTCTTTAGTGAGTGCGAAGAAGAGTTTGGAATTAAAGTCAAATGTTAAAGAAACATCCGTCCCAGAGTTTAAAAACATATTTGAAGTAGTGCTAATATCCCATTTGTGACATATAGCCAGTGAGTTTATAAAAGAAGTTCAACTTCAAGCTCTTCTTTGCCTCCCCATAAAGCACTGGAGAGGGATATCTGTCTTTGTTAGTGGAATCTGAAATGGAAAAGATAGTGTAAAGCCAGTGGCTTTTATTTAGGAAAATCTCAAGCAGGAAATTATTTAAAAATCTCAGCCAAAAGACTTCTTCATGCTAAATGGTTGATTACTGAGTAAATATGCTCTCCCTTCCTTCTAGGCTTGCAAGGAAACACATGTATTTTCCAGTATAAATACATTCTTTGAAATGTAAAAGTTAATTCTGTCTGTAATGCAGAATGATCTCTTTGGAATTGCTATGTATTTCAACTGCCTCTGTTCTCAGGGATTTGAATCAATGATCCTGTGGAGCAACAGAACCAAAGAGCAAATAGATTAATTTCACTGATAGAGTGATTCCTTTGATTGCACATGGAGAGTGAATGACTGTTTCAGAATCACCTGCTGAAAGCAGGGGGGCAATTTCTAGATACCTGTCCTATTGACTTTCCCAGAATAACATCAATATATACAAATACTTGCAAAATCATTTGCAGATAGTTAAGAGTGGTTCAAGTCATGGAAGGCAGTGATTCACTCTTACCTTATATCTGGGAAGATTATGAAGGAAACTTACTTTTCTGTTTCTTGAAGGTCCAATATGGGAGTTGAAATGATGGAGAACTTTATACCTATCAAGATCTTACAATGTAACAGTAAATCTTATCTGCTGTTGTCTGTGGTGTTCACTATTTAATGCTTAAAAGATACTGCAAAAACAATTTATGGTGAATTTGAGAGCATCACCCAGGAATTTTCTCTGTCTGTCATTGTCTCTCTCTTTGTGTCTCTGTCTCTCATATTAAAGTTATCACTAGACTTGGTTCCTGTTCTTGATAATGAGGTCCTGTATATATGATAAACTACAAATATGTATCTAACAACGTGGCTTTTATTGATAAATTAGTAAACGTCCTAAAAAAACTTATTTCAGAAAAAAATGTTTTTTTATTTATTTTTCCTAATGGTTAACCATAGTGGACAGTGTTTGGTGTAGTTCCCAGATTGATTCAGGTTTGGAAGCAGGAGTGGCATATACTTCCTAAACCACATGCCTCTGGAAACTCTACGAACACAGAGAAACTATGATAGTTATAGAACAAGGTTCAGGTCTTTTGTTC